TTTAGGAGATTTTTTACAAATTTCTCTAAATTTTAAAGCAGGGACTCGTTTCCGTCTTTTATTGTGCCACAATGTACAATCAGCTTGTCACAATCGTTTTTTCTCATTTATAGACATTGGCTAACTCTTTAGAAAATTTTGTCTTGCAGCACGCCTCAAAGGGTGCGACAGATCAAAGCCATGCGCGAAAGCAAGAAAAAATATTTACATTACTTTAACGGATTGAAGAGATATTAATATGCTGGAATTAATAATTATTGTTGACTTGAGGTATTCATTAAACAAAAACATATTTATAATTCATATCTCAGTGTATATCTTCCAATTTAGGATATATATTTTTTAATAAATAAATGATAAAATTAATTTAATGTAATTGAGCGAAGTTACTGTATGTAAAAAATAACATGAATTAAAATCACTTATATACTGTTTATCACTAAATAGTAGAAAAAAAGATATATATTTTGTTGGTGTCACCCTCTAGACGAAAAAGCTTTTAACGTATTTCTATTTTTATTGTTATAAAAATAAATGCTCCTGTAGGCAAAAATTAAATATATGGTTCTCTTCTAGCATTTTTTAACATTTCTATTTCTTTTCGTTTCTTTTCTTAGATTTTTTTCAAAAGAGACTGATTCATATTTTTAAAGTGACTCCAGAGAGGTATGGGTTAAACCTTTACCTGTACTTAGATAAAATTTCTTTTAGTAAAATTAAAAAATAATCCGTAAAATTGATGTACTATGAAACCCTTGCATATAATATATATACCAATCTTAGTATTACAGAAATAAATTACGTAAAAAATAAGGTGTAAAATATGTAAAATTTATTCATCCCTCGTAAAATATCAGTAAAATATATTATAAATTGTTTTCATTCACAAATATTAATTTCTTGAAAATCTAACAGAGGCGCCACTTTCCAGACGAAAAATCTTGCAATGTAAGGGTTTCGTAGTACCCCACTTTTAAAGTTTATTTATGAATATTTTTAAAAGAAAAAATATGTACGCGTAGGTAAAGGTTAAATCTATGCTTCTCTGGAACCACTTTTTCAAAATTTAATTTAGTTTTTTCTAAAAAAAAATTGAGAAAATGGGTAAAAATAGTCGAGCTTTGTATTGTTTTTTAGAAAAAACAGTTTCAAATTTTAAAAAAGTGTCTCCAGAGCAGCATAGATTTATCCTTTACCTACACGCACATATTTTTTTCTTTCAGAATAAGTCAAAAATAAACTTTAAAAGTGGGGTACTACGAAACCCTTGCATGCTCCGCTTTACAGCCAAGTAAATACTCCTCTTAAGTGAATCAGAGTTACCTGAATTAAGGAAACCAGAACCGCATTTAGTTGTACTTGGTGCATTGTGAGCTTATTATAACGTAGTATTAGAGGGTGTTTACAATATTTTTTATTTTAATTTAGTGAATAGCTGTAGTTAGATTAAATTACATTTAGGAGTATAGAGTTAGTTTTCTTAAGTTGTTAAGTGTATTTTTGTGAAAGATGGGAAAAATAAAACCAACGTACAAACGGAAAAATAAGCGATTAGCTCGATTAAGGTAATACCAATTTATATTTAAAATGGAATAATATTCATTTATTTTTTGTTCTATATATTAGGTTTTTGAAAAAATAATGGAAAATTATTCTGAGGTGGAAAGTAATCTTCCGGTAGTCAATACATCAGAGGACAACACGTAAGTAAAGCAAAATTTTACAAAAATGTTTTATGTTATAATATAGTCTAGTAATGAAAAGATTCTATGTTCTGCATTCTATGTATATTATGTAAGAAGTGCGTGAAATTTATGCACAACTTTAATAGGAAAATATTTATAATGTACAAAAAAGCAAAACCAGTTGAGCCAACTACTCACTTTTGACCTGTACGTGAAAGTCATATGCTCTAATAGAAAAATTGGGGTAAAATTTGATTTTACACACCTGTGTGAATTTATACTTGACATAATTTTTTTCAAGAATTTGCCATTTTGATGAACTAATGTTCTTGTCGAACGGAATAAGAGATGTCACACTAAAAAAAAAAAATTCACTGATTAACATTAAATGTAATTTTTAGTGATATTTTTCGATTTTAGAAGTAACACTTTTACTGCCTAGGCATTAAAAAATTACTTTTTTTTCTTTTCAAGACTTCTGCATGGGCATCCGGCCAAAAAAGTTACTGTAATAAATTAAATACAAAGTTACTATAAGTATATTTAATCAAAAATCATAAAATACGATATATTAAAAATGCGTGAGTTATATCAGTCATACTTAAAAGAGGTTTTCATTTTAGTTCCATTTTTTAAACACACTGTATAAACAATCGGAGAAAAAATTTGATATTTCACATAGCAGAGATACAGATTTACTGCCTTGGCTTATTTCATTGTCTCGATTTCGCCTCGCCAATGAAATGCTAGTTCCGGTAATAAATCTGTTACTTCTTTGCCTAGTTAAACAAACAACTATGTTATTGATTGTTAGGCCTTTACTTGATGAAATCCATCAAAATTGTAGCTTATGCGATTCTCACATATTATATTGAAACCCCCAGTAAAAAGGTTTCATCATACTTAAAAAACCAAAACATTAACGTAGCTTTCAAAAACAATAATACGCTTGGGATATTAAAAACAATAAGGGCAAAATTGTTGCATTAATAAATTGGGAGTATATAAAGTAAATTATGGTAGTTGTCCAAAATTGTATATTGGTAAAACGGGCCATACTTTCAAAAAACCCTATTCAGAACATTACAATAGTTATATCAAAAACAAAAATTATTCTACTTTTTCAAATCATACTTTGGCTGAAAATTCAGATAACCTCTTAAATGATCAATTAGATATTAATTACTCACCTTTAATAAATCTCTTTATCTACGCCCGTCTCACTGCTTTTCAATCAATCAAATAAAATTTCAAAATGTCAAAATCTATTTAAATTTAATAGAGAGTTATTGCAAGTTCACTGAGGTCAGTCACTATTAGTGCCGCTCCTATTTTGACATCTGAGCATGCGCAGATCACTAACTTTAATAAAGATTGTGCCTGTCCTTAATAGAGAGATTTTGCAAATTTCTATAAAGCCAGCCACTAAACTTTAAATTATAGTTCATCTTTTTTGTTTTCTATAATATTAAAGAGGCATTAGAAATTATAATTTTAGAAGATTTTTTTGACGATTATATTAAATATTTAATATTAAAAAACTTCTAACGGATACGAATGTCGGCGAGCGCATCTGAAAACTATAAAGTCGCCACTACCTGCTGCTACTAAGGACAGGCACAATCCTTAATAAAGTCAGTTTTAGGACATAAACATCTACGCATGCTTAGATGTCAAAATAAGAGCGGCACTAATAGTGACTGAACTTAAGTGAACTTGCAATAACTCTCTAATAACAAATTTCTGTCACAATCTAAAGTAACAAGTAATAATAGCTTTTAAAGCTTGTTCTTCAATATCAGATGGCAAACTTTTTGAATCACTCATTTTATTATTAGAAAATGCAAAAATACGTTAAAAATGAATTATTTTTGACTTATTGTTTATAAAAATATTATCGTTGCTAAGAAAACAAAACGTTTTTATTCAATTGTTAGAACCGCCACCCAACATTTCGATGTGTCGCCAATCGACATGTAGGCAGTGGTGGAAAAGAATAACCCTAAAGTTTTAAACAAAAATTAAAATTACCGTTTAGTTTTACATTTAGAGGCGTAGATAAAAATTTGTACAGTATACGGTTTATTAAGGTACTTTTGCGATTGCCCAACTCCAAATCCCAAAATCAATAATACATTTTTTTTCCATATGGTTCTAACTTAAGTAGATACACTGTATATTAGGCACCGAAATGTAAATGAGTCACATTCAAAGAAGTTATACTTCGAAACAATTGTCATGCAGACTTTTTAATTTTTATTTTTTATTAAAAGTGTGTGAGAATCTACTAAGTTTGGTTTTTCTCATTTAAGAAAATAACTATGTATTAATACACAGACCGCTTAGCTTTTTTGATAGACTATAATAGTTTTAGATAACAATTTTTAATAACAATATTTTTAGAATGCGTAGCAGTACCACTTCTACCACAAATTCTCCTGTAGATATTTTGGCTACACCATCTTCAAGTCGTCAGGAGGACAAACGTCAGCAAAAGCGAAGCTATTTAGAATATACCACTTCAAGGGATAGTGTCGTTGTTGAGGAAGAACTTAAAAATAAAAAGTAATCATATGTATATTACTGAATCCGTATATTTCAATGGGTGATAAATACCTACAAAGCCGAAATGTAAAAAACTTATTTAAAAAAAGTTGTTAATCAAGTTATTATATATATTTTGTAAAAATATTTATATAATTTTTTTATTTTAGGATAAAGAGAAATGAAATTTGTTTGGAAGGTCTGAGAATTGTGGATGCCCTGTACCTAATTCAGCAGGTGTTAAACTTTCCATATCATGGATTATTTCACTGCAGTGGTGACAACGTCAAAATAGTTAAAGAGGTCAAAAAGGGCTACATTCAAAACTTTTGTTGCATTGCAACATCTGCGAAGAAACGCTTAGCATTGATAGTGAAAATCCTCAAAGGAAAACACTTCGAATTAATGCTTCAGCGGTTAATGGAGCTATTTCGATTGGAATTGGGTCAAGTCAGTTGTCGGAGTTATTAAGCAGTATGGATATACCTCCTATAACTGAACGGATGTATCGTTATATTCAAAATGATCTGGGGGACTATTACCATGAAGCTGCTTGGAGTTCGATGATAGAAGCTGGACAAGAGGAAGCTACGTTAGCAAAAGAGAATGGGGAAGTTAATAAGAATGGTTATCCATTAATAGTGGTAGTAGCTGACGGATCTTGGGTGAAACGGTCTTATAAGACTAATTATAGTTCAAACTCAGGAGTGGTGCGATTATAGGATATCGTACTAAAAAAATTTTATATTTAGGTATAAAAGACAAATACTGCTCATTTTGTAAATTGTTTGGCGAAGAGAAGGACCATAGATGCTACAAAAAATGGGATGGGTCTTCAACTGAAATGGAAATGGACTATATTAGATGGATTTCACTGTAGTCTGTATATGCATGGATTAAGATATAAATATCTTATTGCTGATGGAGATAGCAGTGTTTATCAAAAAATATTAGAAAGCAGGCCATATAGTAACACGTTAGTAGAAAAAATAGAATGCCGAAACCATTTGTTGAGAAACTATTGTGAACGTTTGCGGGATATTGCAGGAAAAAGGTACAGTACCGCAGGAAAGTTAGTTCCAGTCGAATTGCGTAGTTTGTTAAAATCTAATATTTTAACGCTACGAATTGCTATCGACAAAGCTGCTAAACATCATCGAGAATCTGAAGTTGCAATGGAACTTACAATAAAAAATCTAAAGCATGACATATCTAATAGCCCATATCATGTATTTGGTAAGCACGAGAACTGTTCTAAATACTGTTGTACAAAGTTAGGAAATGAAGAGAATACGGACTACATAGTCGACCTGACAGAATGCGGAATGATGAAAGATATATTGTCATCTATATCAAAAATAAAATTCCATGCAGACAGTTTAATTAAAAACCTTAATACCAATTACGCAGAACAATTTAACAATGTCATTGCAAATTTTTTAGGCGGGAAACGAATTAATTACACGTCAAGGAGGTAGTTATGAACTAAGATGTCATGCTGCAGCTTTATCATATCGCCTGATAAATTCTCAAGAGACACAAGTGTACCTTCAAAACTGTGTTTTTGTAAATTCAAAAACTAGAGACACGTCCAATTTAAATGCCTATTTTGAAGTCCGATCAAATCTAAGTTGAAACGAGATCAAAAAACTTATAGCACTCTTGTAACATTAGTATTGAGAGATAGTAAAATATTAGTTATAGAATGAGTGGAGCTATTCAGAAGTTAAACCTAAATGATTGTAGCGCTAACTCAGAAAATTAACAGTACCAAAAGGCATAAGTCTACAAAATGACGTTTGCATTTTCTCTCTTTTTAAAATACAGAACGCGATGAAGAAATTTCTTTGATGGTTATGCCGTTTGTATTTTTTTATAATCGTTATCTTTGTTATATATCAAATGGGCTTAATTCAAGGAAATATCTATTTGATTGTATTTGCAATAAGAAATGGGCACGGAATGAAAGGGCCCAACAATATCCAATGTCGTTTGTATTTTGGCAAACTATGGTTACTCAGGTGGTATAAATGGCCCCAAATGTGCAAAATGTCTCTAATATTGTTTCACTAAAACGTTCGTCAGACGCGATAAATGTTATGTATTCAAAACTTCTTTTGTATTTTGCAAAATAACACTAGTTGTACAAGTAAAAAAATTCTTTTAATATGTAAATTTATTAGAAAAATTATTGAAAGTACTAAATATCGATATTTTTATAAATAAAAATGGTTTGCATTGATGTTCACAATATAAATTGCCATAGAAAAAATTTGAAGACTATTACTTAAAAAATTCTATAATTATTCGCTTCACTTTTTCGCGTTTTGCGTATTTTCTCTTTGACGGTTGTTCTTTTCTCTTAACAGATTTGGGGTTGGTATCTTTTGGACCTGCAGGCAAATCCAAGTTGATCTCCTGATCTTCATCAGCGTCTGCATCATAAGTTAACTGATTGATCACAAGGTTTCTGCAAAAATTTATAAAAATAGATCGCCAATTACCGTTTATTCAAAAGATTTTCATCTGTTTAATAAAAAGCTAAGAAAACAAAATTATAAGCTATATTTTTATGTGATTAAATAAAAATAAAAAAATATTAGAATGTTTAATTACTGTAGTTACTAATTTTTGATATAGGGCTAAGTTTGCGGAAAAACTGTTGGATTGCATTATCGGAAAATGGTTTGTCCAGACTCTATGTAGGACGTGTTAGAGGCCCTGCAGTGGATCGAAATACTTACATTCAAAATTGTCTTTCGAAATTGGTAAATTGTATGAGAGAACATCATTCCAACGACAATATCATGTTTTGGCCGGACTTGGCGTCGGCTCATTATGCTAGAGCCACATGCGAATGGTTAAAAGCTCAAAATATGCCATTTGTGCCTAAGCAGAACAACCCCCTTGAACGTTCCCCAAACAAGACTAATAGAGACATTTTTGTCAAGAAAAGTTTATGAAAATGGCTGCAAGGCTCAAAACGAGCAGTAGCTGCGGCGTAAGCTATTCCAAAAAATTAGGGAGTTTGATGTTGAAGAGTGCAGGACAAAACTGCGCCATATCGAAGAAAATGGACCCCTACCGGTGCTGTAGTAATTTTTATTTATTTTTAAGGAACCACTTTGTACGTAGTACTATGAGGGATAAATAAAATTTTAAAATATTTTTTTCATATGTCTTTAATTTTTTTCCCAAAACTTTTGGGACACTCGTTAGTCACAATATGTATCTTAGGAAGTGTAGTTTTTTTTATAACAAGTTTCTATAATATAAAATTTTACAGTTATAGATGCTGACTTACAAACAACAATAATTATGCATTAAATTTAACTTAATAGAAAATAAAATTTATTTTTATAGAGTTTTAATGTTAGATAAAGAGTTGCTACTGTTATTTTTTTTTGGACCCCAATTGTGTCATTGTAAATGTTTTTTATAGGCTACTAAACGTTTAGAACAGTGGCAGCATATATGTCGTTCCTAGTGCCGATCAAGCACTTCCTAGAGATGATGTTGTTCTATACTTTTTAGAAGATATTATCAAATATTATGAGACTATTTTTACTGATGGTACTGTAAGCAAAATAAAAAGGGGAAAGCTGAAATTAAAGGATGAGGTAATACCGTGTCCATACCCAAATATCCCTTTATACTTAACTATGTTTTATTTTACTCTTAAAACAATATATTAAAAAAAAAATTGCCACAAAATTGAACTCATCAAATTGTAGCATTTAGGAAACCGTTTTGAATTTGGTCATACATACCTAATTTGTATTTGATATAGATAAAATTAAATTATTTAACAATTAAAATATGCAAGACTTATTTAGAAATAAATACAACAGTATGTTCTGTGCTTTATTTAGCTATAAACAAGTTAATTTTTATTATTTTAACATAATTATGTATAATTCTCATAAGAAGCCATGTATTTTGAACACCATATGCAGTAACAGCGCCCATGCGGTTAATTATAAAAGCTCCTTAAGTCTAGTCTTCATAGTCCCACATTACGTCATTGCGCGGTTTGAACGAAATATGAATCGAAAGTCAGCATACCTTTAGTATGTGTATCGTGGTTCTGAATACAAATAACTGCTACAAGATGGGTGTATGCATATAAGATTAAAATAAAATATATTTGAATTTTTACAATTTATGCCAATTTCAGTAAACATTGACCTATATAATTTTTTCCTGAACATAGTTACTGACTGTTTTTTAAATCTTTCATCGAGTACAACATTTCGTACTTTCCTTTTTTTTGTCTCACGTATAATTCTAACCATTGATTTAAATTATCGTAGTAGTGGGATTCCTATTTTAGTCCTATAAATTTAAAAATATTTGGAGGTATTTTTGATAATTTCTTATTTAGGCGGTTATACCACCCTTCAAGCGAGTTTGTTGTTTTATGCCTTTTGCCGTAGCATATCCACATATTTTGCACAACAATTGATTAGCAAAATAGTAATTATTAACTTTTTGTAGAAGGTGGTCATTAACACAGTTCTCCATTATACTTAATCATACTCATACTAAACAGATTACATGACAAAGCAAGGCACCTTACAGGTATTCGGATTTCCTTATTTTTCTTGTCTGCATTACCTAGACGGGGTTTAAGATTAACCACAGTCAAAGGAAAAGAATTGCACCGAGCTGCATCAGAACTTGGTTGTACATACCAATCTTCTGAAAAACCCACCTATTGGCTCACCGACTCAAATATTATTCCAGATCTTTTGGATTTCTTTATTCTGAGGAAAATTTCACCAAACTATACGCAAGTAGAAGAAAACTTTGATATGGATTCAGACCATTCTGCAGTAATCCTTACTCTAAGTGATAATGTTATTTTAAAAGAAGCCAAACCGACCCTAGTAAATCGGAAAAATAATTGGGAAGGTTTTCAAGAGGACTTAACAAATACTATTTAACTGACCATAACACTAAAAACGAAAAATCAGCTAGATGAAGAACTGGAAAGGTTTAGAGTTGAATTCCAGCAAGCTGCATGGAGTAACACACCAAAAGTAAAAATATTAACTGCTGGAAAAAACTATCCTGTCGAGATAAGAGAACTGGTAGCAGAAAAAAGAAAATTAAGAAATAAATGGCAGATGACAAGATCACCAGAAGATAAAAATATATTAAATAGGGCTACCCACAGACTGAGAAGAGAAATCCTAAATCACAAAGAAGAATCCTTCAACAGATACCTAGTAGGGCTAACAGATGATAAAGAAACTGATTATTCACTTCGAAAGGCAACTAAAAAGATAAAAAATTCGTGTAAACACTGCCCTCCAATCAGAATAGCAGATAACAAATGGACAAGAGACAATCAACAAAAAACTGATATTTTCGCTGACCACCTACAAAAGACGTTCCAATTAGATGAAAATCAAGACACTCCTATGATTACTAGAAATGTTAGCACAGTCCACAAATGTGTGGTTGGCTTCTTGAGTGATCTCCTGTTGATTTGATTTCATAGCTAGTTCCATTCTCTTTTGAACTTGGCTGCACCGTACTGATGAAGACCAACAGTCAGAAACACGTATCTACGGTTTGTTTTTAGGCATTTTTTTAATTTTTTTGCGGTATTTGCCCAATAATCCTTTTATCTATCTTTTATATTTGTTCACCGCACTATATATATATATATATATATATATATATATATATATATATATATATATATATATATATATATATATATATATATATATATATATATATATATATATATATATATATATATATATATATATATATATATATATATATATATATATAGAGTCACGTAACCCTAAAAATTAAAATATTTATATTTTTTTCGTTAGACAAAATCGGGACACAAGTTAAATCGGGACTAGTGGTTTAAAATCGGGACTGTCCCGCCTAAATTGGGCCAAATATTTTCGTTTATTAACATAAAAATAAAAAAGCCTATAGTATATCCCTCTATACTCTATGGATGTTAAACGTTTGTCTTTAATTTACTTTAAATTATCCACCTTATTTTAGTAAAATGTGTAGTGTATTCAGTGCTACAAGCCATTTATAAATAAAAATATATTTGCAAATTGTACAGTTTTAATCTAGTATAACCTAACAAATATACAAATATTAGGATGTTTTACCTCATTAAAAATAAAATTAAAAATGTGATAGCATAAGGCCTCATAACAATAAAATTGTATTTTTAATAGCCAATATAAACATAATTTTTATATTATTTGTAATTTTGCAATAATATATTTTCAATTACTACCTACCAACTGTTTGAATTATTCTATGTTATATCAATTTCGATATAAAATAAGAGTTATGTTAAGAGCAAACATGACGGGCGCTCCTCCACCAAAAATCAATTTTACATTTGAGGCAGTTAAAAAAAATTGTAAAAAAAATGGTTCAGGCCAATCGTTGTAAAAATGAACCAAGGATTTCGCTAAACCGCGAAAAACTTATATTTTTTAAGAAAAACAACAAAAATTTCAACATTTTAATAAATTTAATTTTTTGGCTCTTTACCGGCATTCTATAACAAATATCTTAACTATTTTCTAAATAACTTTTTTTCAAAAAGATTACCAATTTTAAACAGGACCGAAGATTAACATAGTTTTCATTCCGATACTAATTCTATTAAAACAATAATACCAGTGAATATGGCAACGCTGCTAGTCTTTGAAGCCCGTGGTTAAAAAGGTAGCTGCCGTTTAGTTAAATTTGTTAATTCCTGTGTCGAAAAATAGGTAGTTGTTTTTGAAGAGGTGCGAAATTATTATGATCGTCTTAGTTTGTTGTTGAGGCGTTGTTAGGTTTTTGTTTAATTTAGTTTTTAGTTAATTTATGAAATGAAAAATTCTGAAAGGCAAAAATGCACAGCTGACAAATTTCTATTTTATTTGTTTGCTGCCAGAGTTAGTAAATCCTAGAAAAATACGACATGTGCCAATTAGGGAAAAGAGATTGTCAAGAATTTTGCACGCTTAAAAAAAATGTGTAATATACAGGGTGTTTCTAAATACATGCGACAAAATTCAGGAACTGAGTGCTCGTATGAAATTAAGATGGGTCTGTTCTATAACAAAATTTGCTCAGCCCACCCCTTTTCGAGATATCACCCTTAAAAAGTGGTGACTAAAATTGAGTTTTTATTTTTTCTAAAATTTCAGTAAAGCTAGAAACTTGAAATTCTGTAATCGCAAAGGACTAACCACGGGTATTTTTTCAATATTTCTGTTACATTATAGGGGGGTGAAATTAGCAACACTTTATTTCATATCAAAACTTTTTTTCGAGATGAACTTTTATGCAATCCTTGATTTATTTAATTTTGTTTTATTCTTGAATTTTTTCCCCAAAACCAATAGCTTCAGAGAAAAAAAATTAACACCCTAATTAATTTTTTTTTTTTAATAAATTGAGTGGAAAACAGTGTAACGGGCTTGTAACTATCGTATCGTACACTCTGTCATTATTCATTTTTTGCAATAATTTACACCAGTTTACACTAGAAGATAGCACTTAACGAAGCGTTTTAGCCACTAATTTTGGCGACTTTTAAGAAATCATTAACAAGACATTAGAGGCTTAAATTTGGGGATTATATTAAGAATAGTGCTGTCGACGAATGCATTTATTTTCATTAGGATGTTTCAAAATTAAAGCCCTTTTAGTTTTTTTGGGAAACTGGAAGGAATTAAAACATTAAAATATATGCATATTATAGATATTATTGCCTAATTGATTTTGCCAAAATTTAAATATTTTGAGAAATTCTTGTCCGATAATTATAAGGGGTATGAACACCTTAAGATTGAAAGAGAATTAACTTTAATTCATGAGATGCAAAGCATCATAATTGTCGCGTCACAAAAACCACCTGCTGCCAAGAGAAAATTTTGATTCAACAGTATTGTATATTTTGTGTTGTAAAAGA